CAGAAGTGTTCCGGTTCTCCGGGAGAACGGGGCGGGGAAGGCAAGCCCACCGCCCTGCCAGATCCAGGCGGCGCTCCCTGGCCCTGCATCCCGCAGCCGCCGGCGGAACTTCGCAGGCAGAGCTTGCCTGCGATATATCGCGGAGCCACCGGAGGTCTCTGTGCCCGCTGCGGAGCTGCCGGCTCTCCCAGGAGCCCGGGGCTCCCGCAGCTCCCGCTGCCCACCCTGGGATGTGAAGTCACGGGGGATGGGTGCAGGCAGGAGAGCAGCCGGAGGACCCCATCCTGTAGGGATGGAGGCAGGAGCGGGGTCTCAGCCTGTGAGTAGTGGCAAGTGCAAAGCGAAGTAGGGGAATTGGGGATGCGGGGGGCTTGGGAGCAATGCAACGCTGCAGTGCGGCACAACAAGAAGCATAACCCCCCTTTCTCAGAAACCGCGCTGCCAGCCCAAGCGAACAAAAACCAAAACCAAAACCTCAGCAGCTCCCTGTGCCGAGGTATTTCAGTGACATAAAAAGACGTGTGGGAAAGTGCGTGGGGAGAGAGTACACTTCCAAGTACCGGTGCTAATTTATGGGGGAACAGAGTGTGAAATATTGGTAGTTCTTCATGGTCCGGTACAGAAGGGGAGGGCAGATGTGAGAGCGAAGAGTTAATGGTTTACACCTGGAAATTGAAAGCCACGTGCCAATTAGGAAAGGAGGAGCAGGTGCTCCCTATGGCCATGCCCTCCTGATAGCAGGTAGCTGAGCACCACAGCACCTTTTGCTCAGGGATCCTGAGCATATCTGACACGCGGACCCTAGATGGCGTGAGGTTTTAATGCGTAACGGCAAGGAAACCTAGTCTTGTAATGAATAAGCGGGAAGTAACATCCTTCTCTGCTCTTAGGAAATCGCTGGCTCTGGGAGGGGTCAGCTCTGGTATGTGAAGGCCAGTCACATGCCTTCAGAATTGAAAAAAAAAAAAGGAGGAAAAAAAAAAAATGATTAGAGGCTAGCGGGCTGCAAGTTTCTAGGGCTCCTGGGTGTCCGGATGTTTCGTGCCTGCTGTCCTCCCTGTCAGCTGCTGGCCGTGGTTAAACGCAGTAAGTCCTGGCGAGAGCTCTGTGACGTGCCTGCTGTGAGAGCCACCCGTTGCGCTTCCTTAGGGCAGGGGGACGTCAGCTGGCCACTGGGTTTTCCTGCAGGACAGGTTGGCTTGCTTTTGCAAGCAGTCCTTTCCTAGCACAGTTTAGGGGCCCTTTGTGTCTGGCCAGTGGAGGAGGGATGTTTGGGGAGAAGGGCGTGCAGCTTGCCTTCCTTTGGGAAGCTCTTGCTGTCTTTTGTGGGGGTTTAATCTCTTTCCTAGATATGTAATGATCATCCCTCTGGGGGAAAAACAAATTTCTGCAGCTGAAGTAGCCTTTAGTTTCCCCAGGTGGGGGTGGGAGAACTGGGGGAGGGGGGGAGTGGGTGAGGTTTCAGAGCTGAAGGACAGCCTCGCTGTCTTATCAGGGCAACCATGGGGTCCCCGTGAAATGTGCTGAGCCACAGGTTGCCAGTGTAATGAAGCTTTGCAGCGGCAATGACGATACTGCATTTGGGCTGTGTTTGGTTCCCTTGCCGCCGTGTTATCCCTGCAGAGGCGTGCAGTCCCCGCTGTCGCACCTGCGCCCTGGGTACTGCGCTTCTCCCTTCTCGTGCCAGTGGGTTGTGTTGAGACGGAGCAAGACTCGGTCTTGGTATATGGGAGTTTAGTCTTACTTGCAGAGGCAATAAGGAAGACTGTTTGCAAGGTGCTACCCAGATGTCGAGCCTGAGTTTGCATCGCCTGAACTAGGTGCAACCATTTACACCAAATCAGAGTGGGAGGAGGGGGGTGTATTTCCAAAGCAGTAGGATATACCTGAGGGAAAAGTGAGTTATCTTTGCTAAGTATACAGTGAACGACAGAAAATCAGTGTGTCTAAAAGTAAGTACGAAGTTCTCTTGGTGATGATCCCCATCTTTCTTTTCTACTTTCAGACTTTAAAGACAGAATTTCTTTTAATCTTTCTTTTTTTCTGCATTCTTTATAGCAGATTTCCTATTCCCTCTTCCCTTGTATGCTACAGTCAGAACAAGAAATTAAAAAAACCAAAAAACTTCTGGCATTTCTTTTCCTGAATTGTCTTGGAAGGTGTGGTCTCTGCTGGTAGGACATCGCCCAAGATTTTTCTAAATCTGGAAAGAAAAGAAAAAAATTTGTGTGGCAGTTTCTAATCCTCAAAAATGCTAAATATTTGCCACCTGCCATCATCTTCAAAGAATTGCTGGTGCTCAGCAAATTCTGTGAGTCCTGGTATTTTTTTTTTTTTCATAGAGGTGCAAACACAAATTTAGTCACATATGTATTCTTTTGTAATTCAAAGGGGGAAGAAAACAAACTCCCTAAACTCCACCCAGTGTGGTGGTTCTCAGAATAAATGCACAAGAACATAGAGTGCAGTTCCCAATGGCTGCTGGATTACTCTTAATGGTTTGGGCCTCTTATAGTAGTTCCCATAGTTGTTTTCCTCCTTCTGCGTATGGGTCATTTCCTGCAGTTTTTTAGCTGGCATTCTGCTTATTCCTTCTTTGAGACGATAAACTTTGTTGACAGATAAACCCAGTTTTGATCCCTTTCTCCAGGATTCTCCAGGTGTCCTCCCAGTTTATCAGTATCCTGCATGCCAGTTACACTTCTGGTTTTCAGTTCACACTCCAGTATTTTTGTCCAAGGTAGCTTGTATTTGATTTTCAATGTAGATATGAGACTCAGTACTTACATATCTAACACGTAACCTTTATTTAT